TTCTTCGTCAGAGGCTTCTCCAGATCCGCTGTAGCATTCAGCCAGCAAATCATGGAAGAAATCCCTGCAATATGAGTTACAACATTTAATCTTCCTGAACTGAAACGTACACATATGTAGGTTGGTGAATTTGTGGCTTGCTTCTGCAAAGCGCTTTTCTTTGACTTGTGTTGTTTAAACCTTGTGTTTATGGGAAGAAGAAAAATAAAACTGCTCTCCTAACTTGTCCTTTAACTGTTAATAAACCTTTTACCACAAAATCTGTAAAGACTGAATTCTCATTAATGATAAAATAAAGTTGATTTATTTTTTATTTTAAAAGACTCTCCCTTTATATTTTTGACTGCCTTTTAACTGTCCATTTGGATGTAATAAAACATTTCTTGATTAATAATGATGTTCTTCAACATTTTGAAATTATTTCAAAACTTTAAATTATTTTTTTATTAGTTTTAATAAAAACTAGCCTATTAATAATGTTTTTAGCACCCACAAGCTAAACAGAGCTCAGTTAGTAAGAAGTGTTCAAATGTCAGAATAAAATAAGCATAAATTATAATCTATAAATTTATAAATATAAATGCCATAATAAAATTTGTATTCTCAGTGACATGAAAATACCACCAGAGAGAAATACGTCTGTGAAAATATCATGGAAGCTCTCCAAGTATAGAAACTGAAGCTAGTGGGATACGCAACCTGAGGACCAAAACAATTCCATCAGTTATAGGAGCTCTAGGAATCATGAGGAAAGGACAAAAAAATAAATAAAAAATAAAAATCACAAAAAGACCAGCTCTAGGAACAGCACATGTACCATATAGTAGACTATCAAAGATAGTATCCCTAATGTCAATTCTAGGGCCTCACAGGAACCTAGTTTTTATCCTAGCTCTAAAGGATGTAAGCAGAGATAACATATGGAAATGAATTAATTTGACTAAAACTTTGCAAATATATATGTATAAAAAAAGACTGAAAATGCTGTAGTGCAGCTAAAAGGGACTGAAAAAACAAACCTAATGTAGCTAATGACTATAGAAAACCTTCAGAAGTCCCAATCAGCACAAGTTATAAAAAAAAAGGGCTAGAAAGTTTATGTCTCGGTAAATATTAAGAAGATATGGGATGACTCAGGTTTTTAAAGCTCTGTAGATCTTTTTTTGTAAATTCTTCCCCCTCTTGGCCTTCCTGTGGAGCCTGTGCAGCTGCAGGATGTGTATTTATGTGTGTATGTCACAGGGAGGGGAGTCATTTCCTGCTCTCCCACACTAATCCCCTCAAAAGCTTCAAGTCATTTATAACTGCTAATGCCAAATGTTGTAGCATTCACTCTTGTGAGATTTGCTGCAAAGCAACAACATAAAAACAATCTTACCTTTATACTAGTTTGCCCTGCATTTGTTCTCCTGTTTTTTTTTTTTTTTCTATGTATGTGTAATTACTATTATAGATATCCTCTGTCTTGGCTATAGTCTACCTGACGTAAGGAGAGCAGCTTTCGTGTAATCCTCTGCTTGTTTCACATAGTGGCTAACAATATGCGGCCAGGAAACTGATGACTGGTCTGTATTGTCTTGTCGGTCATCACACAAAAATGCTAAACATTTGTTACAGGATCCAGCAAACAGTGACTCAACACCCAGCACCATTGTCTGAATACCTGAGACTTATTTTAACCAATTGAAGGAAGCTACAAAAATTGAGGATGGCAAACAAATAAAAAACTATTAAATAATTGAATGTTTGCCATCTTTCCTGTGTTCTTTGCAGTACTTTTAGGAATTCTGGGGAACCTCTTTGGTAAAGGGACTGGTTATATGCTGGTGTAAATATGTAGCCACCCTTTAAAAATATGATGGGTGTGTAAAAGGCTCGACTTCATCTACTGCGTTCCATAAATGTCGACATAATTACAGTCTTTTTTAGCTCCAGCCCTTAGTAATATTTCATAACGTGATTGGATGAGTTTGTGGTGCCTGTGATGCATAAACATAGTCTGCGTGTCTGTTTCTGACACATGGGTACAGCACACTGTGTTCATTTCTTCTAAAATATTTCAATGCTGTAATGATGTGTGGAAAATTTTAAGTGAAATAATGCATAGTCGCATATATCTCAGGTTCATTTGGTCTATCAAAGCAATATAGAGGCACTGATGCTCTCTTAGGGGATGAAAAAGTGTGCATGATAAGGTTTATTTAAATAAAATTTGTACATTAAAAAGTGAGGCATCCAGATTCACATAAAAAGGGCAATAATAACAAACACCAGTCGTATAGTATGCTCAAAATAGTTTATCATAAACCATATTGTAGAATATCACTGTGTTTATATGTAATATTGTTTTTTTTTTTTTTTACAATTTTACTGCATAAACTTTTTAAATAAATGACTAATAGTAGAAAGACCAAAAATGTATTCAGTGTAACTTTAGTTATTTTCCATGTCACATGTTAACAAATAATATGTGGTGTTATGCAGTATGCAAGCTACATTTATAGAATTTGCAAAGTACATGGTTGATGTATAGAATACCTTTGACAAAAGCTCTGTCAGACTGAATGAAGCTTGTTTGTCAGCATACTTTTTCGGAGTTGCGTAAGGCTAAATTAGTTTGAGCTCTGGACTTTGACTGGGCCTTTCTAGCATATAATTAAGCTATCACCTGATGGCTCCATCGTAGCTATGGCTGCATGTTTAGGACTTGTCGCCCTGCTGGAAATTGAAGCTTCACCTTAATCTAAAGCGTTTTGCAGTCTCCAACAGGTTTTGTTCTAGAATAGTCAGCCACTTATTTCCAACCGTCTTCCCAACAGTTCCAGGGTTTGTGTCCCTGCTGAAGAAAACCATCCCTTAGCATGATGCAGCCACAATTTTTCATAAGGAAATGGATTTTGCAGATTTGGGAGACGCCTATTTAAAGTTTTTCCTGTCAACAAATTCTCCCACCTGAACCGTGGTTCCCTGCAGCTCCTCCGGAGTTACCCAAATCCCCAACTCTGCTTCGATAATTATTGTTCTTCTGGCAGCCTGTTGCTTAGAAACCACATGGGTTTTCTCAGAACCTCTGGCTAGAGTGTTTTCTTTCTTCCTACTGATGGTTTTGCTGTATGTTTGCAATGCTCTATCACATAGAATCTGGAGGGGAGGGGTTAATGCATTAACCTTTTTGCAATGAAAAACAAAACAATGGGTTAAATGTTGCTAAAACAGTGGCAAAATGTTAATTGATGTACCTCAATTAACATTTTCTTGTTCAGGCAATAACAATATTTATATGTAAATAGACAAATTGAACACGTGGTTTTGCTGACAAATGGAAGACACAACTCAGGGATTTTAGAACTTAATTTATTTTTCAAATATGCATTTATTTCTAGGATACTTTTCATCAAATGGAAGGGCACCCAGGAAGTCCTCTCTATAATGACAATAAAATGTTTGCCTGTTTAAATCCAGAGTTCCCTTTATTTTTTCCCTCCAGTATTCAAAATGATATTCTAAAGACTGTCATGGAAATATAAATAAATATATAGGTAGCAGTTTTTAATCAACAAATTCCATTGTAAACCGAACTACTCACTATACCTACATGGAAACTATTTATCAATAAATAGTCAGAATAAAGTCAGAATTTTTAGATTAAAGTCAGAATTCTGAGAAAAAAGTCAGAATTCTGAGATTGAAGTCAGAATTCTGAGATTAAAGTTTGAATACTGAGTAAAGTCAGAATTCTGAGAAAAAAGTCAGAACTTTGAGAAAAAAAAGTAAATATTCTGAGATTAAAGTCATAATTCTGAGATTAAAATCAGAATTCTAAGAAAAAAGTAAAAATTCTGAGATTAAAGTCAGAATTCTTAGAAAAAAGTCGGAATTCCCCAGTGGCACGGGAAGGGGGGTGCTGCGGGGGCTGCAGCCTCCCTCGTCATAGCATCAGCCCCCCATGGTGGGGGGCTGTGGAGCAACATAATATTGTACTTAAAAACATTAAATTATTTATGTATTTATTTCTTAAAAGACTGTGTTTGATATGGGATTAAAATGATGGGCTGTGTATAAGATATAAACTAATGATTCATTATTTTAATATTTCATAAAAAACTAGGCTACGGAAGTGCTTCCGCCACCTCACATTCATTTAGGCATGGCTAGCAATAGGCAGCAGAAACGTATTTCTGACTATTTCGAGGTGAGAAATGGTTTTAATTCCCCTATACGCTAGAATAAGGCTGCATATCACTAAATATTATGTCTGTATTAAGCCATTTAGTGATAAAATATGAAATTAGTTAATTTTTTTTTGTGTGTGTGTTTTTTGTTTCAGATATGAAATCATTCCCCATATCCATAGTCGAATGGACTTTCAAGACGTTCAATGTTCAGTTTAGGCTATATTTAGGCCATGTTTCATTCAAGTATTCCTGATCCTGTTGATTGCGAGCTGTTGTTTGTTTCGATTGATTAAAAGAGAAGAAATAAAGTTTAAAATGTTCATGCTTTGTTCCGATGCATTTTAAATGGCAGTTTTTGGCGACAAATGTAGGCCTACAATATTATGTTAAAAACGTCCGCCACAGCCCTCAACATAATGACGTCACGTGTTTTCCAACCCAGCCATCAGCCCCCCTCACTTGAAACAGCTTCCAGCGCGCCTGGAATTCTGCGCCTGAAATAATATGTAAAAATCAGTTAATTTTTTTTATTTCTTCGGTGGCCCTAATCGTCTTCCGTAGATTGTAGAAAGTTGGCAGTAAACATTATTCAAGTCAGTTTTGTTATTCCTTTATGAAATCGTTAGTTGATGTTTTCCGAAAATAAAAATAATGCAAACGTATTGATGAATATTGATGCGACACCGTGTTCTAATTTAGCATTTTAAATGAGAACCAATGGAAGAATAAACGCGCCTCATGGGGCGCAGAGCCAAACAGCCCAGCTGGAACTCTCACTAAGAAAAAAAAACAACCTTTGGCGTCACTTCCTGAGTCCATGCCCATCCCTTTGGAAAGAAGGAGGAAAAAAAGAAAAAGAAAACTCACACAGGCAAAGGACGGTCAGAAAAGAGCGAGGGAAAGGTTGGGTAGAGAAAAGGAAAGCGAAAAGGCAAATGAAAAAGGTGGATACTAAAGCGGGAGCCCGAGAAAAAATACAGAAACAACCGATTTAAAGTAAGTTTATTATTTTAAAACTCTTTATATTTCACTGATTAATAACCCACACGCTTCTCATTCCTTTTAAAAGCTTTCCCGTGTAGTTTTGGTTTAGTTAACGCATTTCAAAGATGTTTTTAATTGTCAAAAACTTAGAAAGCATTTGAGGGCTGGGCCCTGAAGCCCACTCTCTCTCCTGCTATATTTACTCACTCTGTCGCCTTCATACTTTGGACCCTAATATAAATACATTATTTTTAGATAATTTATCATAAGAAAGCCTTGGTTAATAGTTAACAACTATGTTATAAACAGTTGAGTTATTTTTAGAGGTTTTTCTGAGGCTGGGAGGGTTTTAGATGCTGGGGTGATTCTGTAGAGAGGTTTAGAGTCTTGTTTTTGTCTTCAAGCAGCCCTGAGGGCAGAGAAAAGTATGTGCTAACTCTGCACACTGTGCTTCAAGTGCAAGTCTCAGCATGGCCTTCACAGCCGGACCAGTGCCAAAAGTCTCATTGCTTTCCCATACTGCCTTACACAACTCACCCCGGCTTATCAGGAACTTTCTGTGTGTTATGTCTCATTTAAATCTGTCTTCTTATCCCCTGTTTTCCTTTTCCACCCAGTTTTAGACTTACTAGCCATGCCACTCCACAAATCGTCCCGGGCCCCTCGCCTGGACCCCACCATGATCTCTGCCCCCCTGGGGGACTTTCGCCACACCATGCACATCGGCAGGGGAGGCGACGCCTTTGGAGACACCTCCTTCCTCTCCACATTAGGTCCCAGTCCGACCACTTCAGAGCTGGGGGGTTCTGGGATCTTGCCAGCCGCCGACCCAGAGGTGGCAGTAAACCACAGCAACCTGCAGAAGGATGTTCCTGAGAGTACGAAGCTTCAGCGCTCAGAGTCTCTGTCTTCCTTGACCATGGATCTCGATCTGGATTTTGATCTGGGTCCGTCTATTCTCGGGGACGTTTTAGGAGTGATGGACAGTTTGTCGCTTGGCTCCAATGGGGAGGACATGCTGAGCCCAAAGTGCAACACATCAGTGTTGGATACAAAGCCAGTCATGGGCAATGTTGAGGAGTCAGTGAATGGGAATGGTTTGGAGGAAGACAGCAGGATACCAGACGAGAACGGATTGAAGTCCAGGGGGTTAAGACCAAAGGTGAGGTTTAGCGACAAGCGGGAGGAGATCATTCGCCAGCCATCTGAAGAGGAGGAGGGTCAAACCTTTAACTTTCACTATGATGAGGATAACCAGCTTGGGTCCCACAGTCCAGTGCGGGGCGACAGCGACAGGAGGAAGAGTCCGGCAGGAGAACCGCAGCTGGTTAACCACAAAGCAGATTTGCCACCCAGTCCTGCCTCCTCACACAGCTCAGAATCCGACGGAGTAACCGAACTGGACCGGAGGAGGTCAGAGAGCGGCCACTCAGAGACTGATTCAGAGGAGGAGGATGAGGAAGGACGGGGCTACTCGTTTGAAGACGAGTCGGATGATGAAATTGGTCTATAGGGGACAGGTATCCACTTTTCATGCGAACGATATGAATATACAGTTGAAACCAGATGTTTACATAAACAATATTAAACCACACATAACCTTTTTGTTCCTCACTGTCTGAAATTGAATCAAACTAAACTTTTTCCTGTTTTGATAGCAATAGCTGATGATGTCAGCTGATGACCAGCTAAAGATTATGGCTGAAGATGGTTAAAAAAAGTGTTATTACAAGGAAAACAGTGTTTTCTTTTTTTTTTTTTTTATAGGAAGGTTGAAAAACCAATCAGTGAGGAAGGACCCTTTACCTTAGAGCATTACACTCACCTAGACTGTAGTTTGTAGAAAAGCTCTCAGGGACAGAGACCTTGTTGTTTTTTTTTTTAATGAATGTCTGATGGTCTGGTGAGACTAAAAGTGAAGTGTTAAGCCTTAACGAACATTATCACATTTGATGAAAGAAGGGGCAAGCTTGAAGTACGAAGGTGGTAGTAACATGTTGTTAGAGGGGTTTGCTGGAGGAGGAACTGGTGCTTTTTTTTTTAAATAGATGGAGGAAAGTACATCATCATCTTAAGCCAGAAGGTTAAAGCTTGACTTCCAGATGAACAATTGCCCAAACAACCATCAAATACATAAAAAAATAGGGGTTAAAGACAAAAAAGTAAAGGAGTGGGAATCATAAAGCCCTGATCTGAGTCCCAGAGAATATTTATGGGTAGAGCTGAAAAGGTGCGTGAGCAAAACAGCCTTCAGTTCTGTCTGGCAGAAGATCCCAAGAAAATGTCTTCTAGTGATACCTAAAACAGCTGACCCTAGTTATACAGCCCAAACTGCAAATCTACCAAACGTTTAAGAAATGAAGTAGAAAAAAAGTCTTGTATAAAGGGAACAGAAATAACTTTATTTCCAAAGTTAATAAAAAAAAAAGAAGTCTGGTCTGATTTAATGTCAGGCAGTAAGTAAACAAAAAAAGATCCCATCTTTTTATACAGTGAATGAATCCGGTTTCAACTGTATTCACATTTTCCTCAATTCACCACTTTACAACTCAATGGGAGGCCTAAACAGAATCAATCTGAATGTAAAGCTAAAATAAATCAACGTAAGGTGTACAGTAAACATTCAACTGGAAATTTTGATTTATTTCGTCAACAAGGGTAACATGACTTTGTATCATCTGCTCACTCAAACAGTGAAAAGTTTGTAGCACTTTGAACCACTTCTTTCAGATGGAAACTTTGCTGTCAGACTCCAGCTCTATGGAAAGTCTGATTCAGGATAAACGGATCAGGTTTTAATCACTAAATCTACTCTTTTATATTCGATCTATCGATCTTTTACCTATATGTGCCTTAAAGGGACTTGTATCCTTCGCCTTATTGTATTCAGTACTGAGCTATATCAATGTCTTATTTGTTTTGCAGCGCTGGTTTAGATCAGCCTCCTTGCCTTTAGCCTTTTAGCCCACAGAGGCGGTGTTGATAATGAGTTACTGTAAATTTGTCACATTCCATATCTGGGAATGTGAGGCTCACTGGTTATGACCAAAACCACATCTGAGGTGGTTTTATTTTTAAACTTCCCAAATCTGTCCTTCAGGCTGAACAGATTGTTTTTATTTTTTTCCTAGAAAAAAAACAAAACAAAAAAAACAATCATGGGATTTTAAATGTCTCTCATAAATCAAAGTGTATTTTTGTACTTTTTGCTTGTGTAATGTTCTTTGCTTTGATAATTGTTGCAAAATGCTGTAAAAGGGAGATACCATTTTACCCTTCTGCTGAAAATGCTGGTTAAAACCTCGAATGTTACCCTGTGGTTTAATAAACATTACAGTAAAAAAAAACAAAGTTATTATTGGCACCAGCTTTGACTGCCTTTCTGTTGCAAGGCTTGGGTAATATGAGGATCTGGGAAGTGGCTCAAGCCACTCTGCGTTTCATTAGCCGTCTACTATTTTAATTAGGCGCTTAGACTGGGCCGGTTACATACCAAGTTTCCTGCAGAGGTGCCACAAGAGCGTTACACCCAGGGCTTGTGAAATATTACCTCTAATTAAAATGTTATATTCCTTTATTCCAGTCCCCGATGATCCAGATCAGTTAGTAATTTCCACAAATCCCAATACACTGCACAATCATTTCACGTTGTCTCGTTTTTGTTTTTTTTAATCCAGATCCATACCATTTTCTTTCTTGTAACATTGCAACCACAAACCTCAGGGGGTTCTATTGAGATTAAGTGTAGTGTTTAAAAGAACACAAAGTAGAGGGTGGGTGGAAAGGAGAGCTGTAATTAGAGAGGTTTGGTAACTGTGGAGGAGCTACAGAGATCCACCGCTCAGGTTAGGGGATTGGTTAATCTGCAACCCATGGAGAAATAGGGTGAAGATTTTAACAACAGAATAACATTAGTAGTGCAATAATTTATTTTTCGCTTACTTTCATTAATTAGCAAAACATAAAAAATTTTCCATTTTTTTTCACAAATAAAGTATGTACTCTTTGTTTTGCTCATGTTGATGGTTTTTAATTGTCTCTCAAATTTTAAAAACTAACATTAAATGTTATTTTCAACACGAGGCAAACTAAATTAAAATGCATTCGTCAAACTATGCAATAAAACCAATTTAGTAGCCCTAAGCAAATGTTGTTAAAGGACAACTCACCCCAAAATCTTTTCTTTTTGCTAATAAAATGTATTGTGTGTTGTAATTGTAGTCTTGTCCAGATGTGCTGGGCATTATTTTGAAAATTGCACAATCTTTCCAATCCTGCTTGTGTGTAAAACAGTGATCGCCCTCTTCAGGTTTAAACACGTACTGCGTCTGATTTGGAGTCAGCTTCCATTATTGCAACATCACCCAGGAAACAGTCAGTACTTTGACCCTGAGCAGCTGCAGTTCGTCTCAGAATCCTCAATAAATAACTTGACAGTCATGTTAGACTAGAAAGGTGAGGTAACCTTCGATTTTAATGCATTTTAATAATAATTTATTGTCCAATTAAAACTGAGAAATCTTTATAAAAGAAAATGAAAAAAATAAAATGCTTTAAATTGTATAAAAGGGTCTAGCTTGACAGTTTTGCACCAATTTTTTACATTACCAGTTACTAAAAATACATTTTGATTAGAAAATTAAGTGCATCAACATTAGATAAAAACTCTTACGTTTTGCCTTATCTGGTTAGTCTAGAGCAATAATTTGAGATTTGTTTTGTTAATCACTTGAATTTAAGTCAATTTAGATCATGAATTAACATTGTATAAAACAAATTTTAAAACTGGTCAAAAACCAGTGGACTTAAGAGATTTGATCAACTTTGTATCAAGAGGCATGAAAGTCCCTTTGATTTCCCCTAAGCAATGGGATTTATTTTTCGCCAGGCACCACCTCCATCAGATGCATTTTTCAAATGAATGTGGGCGGAGGTAAGGGACCTGGGTGAGTTGTTCTTTGAGAGCAAAGACAGAAATGGCTCCCTCCAATTGTAAAGGTTGCTGGTTCCTGTTAACGTAACAACCGGCTGTGCAAAATGCAAACCTGACCTTTATCTAGGAGTAAAAAGAAAGTAATAAGTATTAGTAAGTCCTGTTTGCAGCAGACATGTAAAAGATGTTATAAACATAGAAAAACTAAAACGACACATAGTTCTGATCACACTATAACCATTGTAAAACATGGTGGTAGTTGCATCATGACCTAGATTTATTCAACTAACGAGCTTCTAGAAAGATATACAGATACAATGGAACCGTTTACATCAAAGCAGATTCATGTACTGAATTTCCTCATTTACCTAAGACTTGAAATCTGCATTCACAAAAGCTCTCCAGTCTTAATTTACACAAAAACTTTCTGCTTCTTGATGTAAAAAGCAGCCAGTCAGCCACAATGATTTTCGTTGAGAAGTAAAACAAAGGAAAAAACAACTTGGGTCAGAATGTATATTTTATGAATACCATGCAACAGGAAATGCCTTAAAATACTTTTTAAATCTGTAAAACATACAGAAAATATATGCTGAGTCTTTCTCTGCCAATAAATGTTAGAAAGAAGAGTTGATACTTACACAGGTAGGTTATGTACATTATTACAAGCTCCTTCCCTCTCACTGCACGTTAAATTGAATGTTTATGACTAAAGGCTAAACACACAGTCTCTACACAGATATAGTCCTGAACACGTTGAACCCTGACAGGGCCGTGGAGATCATCACGCCCGGTATCTGTGGGTGCCAGTGGATCTCCTTGATCTCCGACTGACCCTGGTGCAGGAACAGCAGCTGTGGGGGAAGGTCCTTCACCCCCTCCACCCTGGCTCCCACGTCGCAGGACTCCACAGAGAGGTCCCACTGGCTGACGACGTCATCCGCCCCCGAGGCAGCGAACACGCTGGAGTCCAGGGGGCTCCACTCCACTGATGTGATGGGGCCGCAGTGCTGCTTGAAGTTGGCCACCGGACGACCAGTCTGTTGGTTGAAAAGGTGGGATGGCTATTTAATTTCATATTTAGCCATCTATGAGTTCCCTTTTTTTTTGCTTTTGCATCATCAGTCTGAATTTGAAAGACCCCATTAGATTCTATACAACTGCTGGAACTAAGGCTTAGTATGTTTTCCAATGGCTTATCGGGAGGGGGGTAATAACCTGGGTAATTATCATTGTAGTATTATGTAATACCATAAAACTAAACAAATCTGTGGTTAAATGAAACAAGTTGAATAATAGGACTGCAGATTATCTGATGTTTTACATACAAACCTATAACTTACAGTACAGACCAAAAGTTTGGACAAACCTTCTCATTCAAAGACTTTTCTTTATTTTCATGACTATGAACATTGAAGATTCACACTGAAGGCATCAAAGATATGGATTAACACAACAAAAAAAGTGTGAAACAACTGAAAATATGTCTTATATTCTAGGTTCTTCAAGTAGCCACCTTATGCTTTCATTACTGATTCGCACACTCTTGGCATTCTCTTGATGAGCTTCAGGATAGTCCCCTGAAATGGTTTTACTTCACAGGTGTCCTCTGTTTAATAAATGGGATTTCTTGCCTTATAAATGGGGTTGGGAGTCACCTCTGTGGAGAATAAGTTCATCTGAGTCACCAGCCTCAGAAATCGCAGGTTAACAGCAGCTCAGATTATAGAACAGGTCAATGCCACACAGAGTTCTAGCAGCAGACACATCTCTACAACAACTGTTAAGAGGAGACTTTGTGAATCAGGCCTTCATGGTAAAATAGCTGCTAGGAAACCACTGCTAAGGACAGGCAACAAGCAGAAAGACTTGCTCAGGCTAAAGAACACGATGAATGGACATTAGACCAGTGGAAATCTGTGCTTTGGTCTGATGAGTCTAAATGTGAGATCTTTGGTTCCAACAATCGTGTCTTTGTGCGATGCAGAAAAGGTGAACAGATGGACTCTACATGCATGGTTCCCACTGTGAAGCATAGAGGAGGAGGTGTGATGGTGTGGGGGTGCTTTGCTGGTGACACCGTTGGGGATTTATTCAAAATGAAAGGCCTACTGAACCAGCATGGTCACCACAGCATCTTGCAGCAGCATGCTATTCCACCCGTTTTGCCTTTAGTTGGATCATAATTTATTTTTCAACTGGACAATGACCCCAAACACACCTCCAGGCTGTGTAAGGGCTATTTGACCAAGAAGGAGAGTGATAGGGTGCTGCGCCAGATGATCTGGCCTTCATGATCACCGGACCTGAACCCAATCGAGATGGTTTGGGGTGAGCTGGACCGCAGGGGGACAGCAAAATGGCCAACAAGTGCTAAGCATCTCTGGGAACTCCTTCATGGTTGGAAAACCATTTCAGGGGACTACCTCCTGAAGCTCATCAAGAGAATGCTAAGAGTGTGCAAAGCAGTAATGAAAGCACAAGGTAGCTACAAATTTATAGGTTGTTTCACATTTTTTTGTTAAGTATATCATTCCACATGTGTTAATTCATAGTTTTGATGCCTTCAGTGTGAATCTTCAATTTTCATAGTCATGAAAATAGAGAAAACTCTTTGAATGAGAAGGTGTGTCCAAACTTTTGGTCTGTACTGTATTTGTTATGGAGCAATACTGATAAGACTTTAAATCCTCATTCTAATGTCTTCTTTTAAGATAAAGGTACATTTAGATATTTATTCAGAAATCAACAGTAGAGAGACAAAATGTTGATGATGCTAGAGATCCAGCTGGAAGCATCTAAGTCCGGTATGGTGTGGGCATCTACTAAGTTTCATCAAATACAGTCAGTGCAGCTCAGAACAGGTCAGGATATCTACCCTTTAGCTTAGCAAACAATATTAGTGGGGAAAAGGATTTATTTTGCTCAGGCGTCACTGTGTCTGAATGGATAGAGGGACTATGGTGTTTTATCAAGAGAAAGATCAGGGTTCCTACAGCATAAGGCAAGATAAATTCAAGACTTTTTAATGCCAATTGAAATAAAAATTTAAGACCAAATTCACAAGAAACACAAGAAAAACCCGCTTGCGACAACTTAACCCAAAGGTTTATTATAACATAAACCACTGCACTAATGTTTAAAATTTTTAAAAACTCCCCATACAAGAAGAAAGCTAAAAAACACACAAATGAGATATATTTTAACAATTATTTAACTGAATTCACAAACTTTGTTTTAGCAGGGAACAAAACAAAATCAGTTTTAAAGCCACAACATAACCAGTGCTAAGGGCCGGATTTATCAAGATCCAATTTTGCGTGCAGTAATTTGCGCTCGCAAACTGGAATTTTGCGCGAGGGGCTGAACCATGGTTTGCGGGTGATTTAACAAGAGCGATTGCGTAACTGGTGGCAGGTGCAAAACTGTTGGAGACACCCTATTTAAATAATGGTTTTGTGCGTTTGGTGGTTTGCGGCATGGTGAGTTTGGACAGCAGAAGGCGCAAAAGGAAATTCGACCCCATGGAAATTGAGGTGTTGGTGGATGAAGCCAACAAACATTTAGGTGAGCTACAGCAAAGAAGTGTGACTGTCACACAGAGGAACACTATATGTGAACAAATCTGTAATAAAGTAAACGCTGTTGGTGAAACCTTGCGAACAGTGGATGAAGTTAAAAGAAGATACCAGGATATTAGAAGGCGAACCAAAGAAAAACAGGCATATAACAAAACATCTGCAAACAAAACAGGAGGGGGCACAGTAGATGAGATGCCTCTGACCAGCATTGAGGAACAAGTACAGCTGACGCTCTGTGAGGAGCAAATCACTGGAATTGCAGCTTCAAAATGGCAATGCTGGATTAACGATATGTTTTGATGATCGTTTCCTCCTTCATTCCAAAAATATTCACACGGAGTGAAAAAATGCGTTCTCTGCGTCTCCTTGCTTCATTTCGATGTCTCCTTCTTGGGACAATAACCGCTGCCATGTGTGCGCAATTACACATACAGACCATTTGCACCTTCTTTTGAAACGTGTTAAATATAGAGTCAGACACCGTTAGCAAAATTGCTTTCAAGTTTAATAAATCACTTTGCGAGTGCTAAATTAATATATTTACATGTTCTCCTCCCACAAGACGCACTTTTGCGTGTAAACGCCCCATATTGCATATTCATAGCAGAAAAAGTACTAAATGGATAAGAGGCGCTATTTAGCACGTTTTAAAGACCAAATCCTTTTAGCACGCTGTTGATAGATCAGTTTGTAAATTTTTTAGCGTGCGCAGTGAAATAGCTCACGTTTTTATACACGCAAACCTTTGATAGATCCGGCCCTAAGTCTTTTTTGCATCTATTTTTCTTTGTATCGTTTTCTTGGTATGTTTGATTTGGTGATAAGTGGAGGCATTGCAGAGACAAGGGTGGAACAAAACTGAGAAATAGCGGCTGTTTCTCTGTAACTCGATTTTGACGCTTTGTGTTTCGCATGTGACTCCACTGCTTTAATTCCCATCGTTCCGAGCTTGAATCGCTTCTTGCACAAAATACACTGCCTGATGTATGTTCCCTGGTTTTAGCCATGGAGAAAACTCTTGGCTGGAGCCAATTTTCGTTACATTTACACTTGCTCGTATTTTCCCAACAAAAAGTTAATGGTGCATCTCCCGGCCGCAACAACGCTTTTAGTGGTTCCGCTATCGGGACAGAACCAATAATGGCGATAAAAAAATAAAAATTGTCAATTTTAACGTTTTATTTAGATTACAAAAATAAATCATAAAAATAATCCTATTTATGATGTTTTAAAAATTAAGACCAACGAAAGACTGATTTAAGACATTTTAATACCAATTAAGGCCTTAGTTTTATTTTGAAGAATTCAATGCCTTTTAAGACTTTTTAAGGACCTGCGGGAACCCTGAAGATGAGAGTCCAGATCCAAAATTGACACGTAGAATGCTATCATTGTAACCTGGGCTTCTTGATCCTTCATTTTTTCATCTCTGAAATTCCAACAGTCTAAGGTTTTTGATTTTATTTAGCTTTAAACCGTACTCATCAGAATTAACAGAAATCCACACTTCAAATATAGATCTATCAGTAATGATGCAGTTATATGGATAAAGAACTCTCCAGTAGTATTCCATTTCATTAAGGCACTATAGTCTGTGGCCTTCCTGAAAGATCTGCTTTTGGTTCCTACCTTAAACTGTCGTAGGTCCCACACCTTCAGGAGTCCGTCATCGCCTCCTGAAAGCAGGAATGGCTCACTCTTATTCCAGCTGATTACGTTGACGTCTGATGAGTGAGCGTCATTGGCTGAGAGCATGGAGTTGGGTGGAGCGCGGATATCCCAGATCCGGATGGATTGATCAACAGAGCAAGATGCAAAAACCTAAGAGGGAGAGAAAAAAAAAAAAAAAAGAAAAACAAAAGACATTAAAAAGACTTCAAATTATTCTTCATCACTAGATCATTGTCAATAAATCCGGTTTGCAACAAAAAAAAAAAACAAAACAAAAAAAGGCAGCATTTGCTTAAAGCTCAATTTGCTAACTGCTCGTATGCCCAAAGCTGTTTGAGGATAGTTTCAATTTCAGCTGAAACCTCATGTTGCAACATAATTGAAGGTTTACCAGGTGTTCTGGTACAATAAACATACGGTCATGCACCCAAGAGTTTTTCTCTACATAACCCGTTTTTTTTTTTTTTGGCAGTTCCCAATACAAAAACAGTAGAGCACAGGGGGAGCTGGTAAGATCAGTATAACGTCATTGACACGTCCGTTTAGATGAACACGTAAGACACTCATCATAAAACCAAAGCTTTGTCTTTAGCTTGTCTGAGAGGAGGCAGATGAGAAAAGATGAGGACAAGAAACATGCCAGGGTGTCGTGATTATTGTACATACTGTGGCTTCAGTGGGTGACCACTGCAGATCCTCCACTGACTTGCTGTGGGAGCTGAACGGTCTCTGGTCAATCTGCCATGATGTCCCTCCCTCACGAGGCTCCCACACATGGATGTTCTTTCTGCAGTCGCCGCTGACCAGACGACCTGGCGAGGAAAATGCAGGTGAAACCATCTCTCTTTTTATATAAACATCACTATTAGATGAAACATTAGGCTTTGGGTTACGCATCCTGCCATCCTTGGATATTTGGTGAAAATATTAAGGTTATCCAGTTTGACTTTTTATAGAGGCATTAGTGAATTTTCTAATGATGCTGCCACCTGTGGCCAAAACACAGAACTGCAGCACTCTTCTGCTCGTTCTCTCAGCTCAGGCTTTTTTTGTTTGTTTTTTAAACTTTTTTCACCAATTCAACATGGACGCCCTTGACATCACATCCACCAAATGTAGCAGGCACTTCTGATGGGAGGTAAATTCAGTGAAAAAGGCTATAGGCTTATGGATGCATCAGTGTTGAACTACTAGGGAGTCAGTCTGCTCATTAAATTATGTTTTAGGTTCAAATAAAAAGGCTATTTTAAAGATATTTTTCTGTAAAAACTTACACAATGTCACTTTAATTAAATAAGTTTAGGGTCTAAAAGTTTTAAAATCTTCTAAATGAAGCAGATCTTCAGAGAAAAACTCACTCAGTTTTTGAACATATACTTTTATTTGGTGCCAGAAGCATAACACCAAATCTTAATAACCGTTTTCTAACAAACTGCTGGCAATTTTGTTTAAACAAATTATTTCTAATCCCATTCTGTTGGTTTAACTGATTTCGCAAGACAATAAAAAAAACAAAACAAAAGAAAGTACATTTCACTAACCACTTGTCGAAAAAATGTAATCTTACCGGTACATAATTTAAGCCAAACTGTAAGAGGCTGAGATTAAGTTCCTTGGTGCGTAAAATAAACAATCTGAGCTTCAACTAAAGGTTGGATATTTAGTCAGTCTTTTTTATTCTTCTGTTTCAAGTGATGCAAAACAACCCCTGGAATCAAATTTCAAGGACAGAAGCTTTCAGAAAGACAAAAGAAACTAAGAAAAGTCTTTATCTTCCATGATTCTATTAAGATTTAAAGAAAGAAATTTGAAAAAGATCCAGGGTTCTTTCCAGAAATATTTTTACAGCTTCCGTCTTACATCATGAGTTTGTTTTAACTCAGCTGAAAAGGAAATTTCTTCTCTTTTACATTTTCCTTTCCCCAGTTTTATTAGGTTCCTACGAATGACTTTGCTAATGACTGAAGTCATACTTGGATTCGGTCCTGCACAGAACCACAGCATGGAAAAGAAAAAAGGATGAACTTTCTGAAGTGAAAGATGAAACAGAAGCAGAAGATGAAACAGTTCATATAAACCATCCAACCAGTAAAAGAAAATTATACTGGTTAAAAAGAAGGTGAGTCAAAGTTTCTGTTTGTCTGCTGGTCTTTTTTATGTAGATGGAATTGGTTGTAATGTCTCTTTATTCATCAGCTCTGGTTCCAGCAGGGTTAAACACGTTAGATTCTAATGACGCTTCACTCAAGCTACATTAAAGCTCACTCACCAGGGACTTTAGGGGACCAATCAATTGCGAAGCCTTCACTCATGTGTCCTGAGAAACTGAACAGAGCCGTAGCTTCCTTCTGCTGCTGTGTGAATGTTGCCATGGCAGCAGAACTGTGGACAGCCTCAAGCTGAGGTTTAAGGTCAAAAATCTCCACCTGTCCCTTGTCCGACCACACAGCAGCCAATGAGAGCTCACCGCACTGGGTCGCCTGGAAATAATAATAAGAGATAATTAACCAATTAATAAAAAAATGACCTAAATATAGTAAAGAGAAAAAACAAAACAAAAGCAAACATACTCTAACTCTGTTAATCCCTCCATAGTGAGGCATCATGGCGAGCTCCAACTGCGGCTTCTTGTCCTCTTCCTCATCCTCTTCGTCGCTTTCCTCCTCGCTGCTTTCCTCCTCATTTTCCTTCTCTGTTCCATGCAGGTTATGCATGCGCATCACCAGAAGTCTGTAACGAGTTTAACATATTTGCCCAAATGTCAAACTCAGGAACATAAAAGTCAAAGCAAAAAAACCTTTTAAGATTTTCTAAAGGACTGATTATTTATTATTCAAGTCCTGACAGAATTCCAGTCGTTTCCTGACCGACAGGTAAATCTTCAACTGAAACCAATGTAAACAGATGGCAACCCTGAGGTTGACATGAAAACAAAGCTGACATCTGCTTACCATAAAAACTATACTGTAATCTGTGGAATGATCTGGGTGTGGCTCATGTCTTCACTAATCCAACGGTTTCACCGATTTAGATGCTTTAATAAAAACATTTCACAATAACAGGCAGAGCAAGGAGGAAATGTTTCAAGCTTTGCAGAAAGTTTTAACCCTTTAAAACTTTTCAAACACATTGAGGGGAAGTAATCATTTTGGTGATACAATAAGTTTGATTTTATTTCAGGGGTTCAGTTTAAATGTAATTCATATCAAGGCATTTAACGCATGAGACCGATTACAGTAGGGTTGTTAAAAGTATCGATACTCAAAAAAGTATCGATGCTGAAACGTTCAATACTCAAGTAACAATGCTTGTTTTTAAAAGTATCGATACAGTGCTACCACCAGAGGCACCTAAGCAGTCATTCATCTAAAGTGCAGAATAGAGGACAATGCACTTTCTGAACACTGAATAATTCTACGCACTTTTCAGTTTCAGACTTTTTTTGTTAGAGGTGCAGCTGCTGAGAATTATTTTTGTTTCTTAACCGGTTTGGCTAGTGTCATTGTTATGTGTGCAAAGCATAGCCAAGGAAGGAACACTTAATTTTAATTTTACAAGTTTTTTATCAAGCTTTCTTAATATTGTGCACAGCATACAACTATTATTGTATTTATTTATTGTATTTTATTTATTAATGAAAATATTTCTGTAGAATTTTGGAGTCATTGTTTTTATCCTTGTGGTATCGAAAATGGTATCGAGTATTGAATATTTACCTTAGTATCGGTATCGAGTTGAAAAGTTTAGTATCGGGACAACCCTAGATTACAGACATTGTGAAAATAATCATCATACTTAAAGATTTGTGAAAAATATTATTTGTCCTTTTTTCTATCTAATCTAAACATGTTCTGCTACTTACAATTCGATTTATTGACATTCTTTAAAGGCATCTCCAACCTGATAATTATGATGGAAAATGTCTACATTTTCCTTATACTTGACTTTAGAAAAATAATTGATAAGATCTTCAGATCTGTCATAGTTATTTCTTGTAGCAAAAAAAAAATGAAATATTTACTTTCACAATAAATATAGTTCTGAGAGTGAGAGTGAAAAAAAGTAAAAATGGATAAATCAGACTTCAGTAATCAAGTATGCATGTTCCTGCATATTGGACAAAATAAAAGTTTCAATGCTTTAGCTTCAAACCATCTGAGGATAGTTTAAACAATTGACTTGGAGTCCAAACAAACACAGACTCAGTTATGCATGTGTAGAACAATTTTACAACCTGTTCTTTTGATTTTGGGCAAATATTTGCTTTCTGTTTAACTTAACCACAAGGGTCTTTTACTTTTACCAAATTTGATTTCATCAATTTAATCAAATGAGGACATTTGATTCAAACAGTAAACTTATGTCTCAAACATGGCACAGGAGGCAGTATCAGATCATCTGCTTCACATCAGTTGGCTGTAAATGTGTGCACATAAATTTACGTTGTTTCTAAGAACCTTTCCACTGTTCTCTTCATAGTGGGAAGAAAAAAAAAAAAAGTTTAAGACTAATACTTGTTCAGCTTTTAGTCATTTTGTGCTGTCAATAGCTGCAACAAATCTCTTGTTAATAAAAGCTCCAGATACTAGCTAGATTCATTCCTGCAATGAGACCAGCGATTTTATGATGCAAAATTAGCCATAAACAAACGGTATAAACTAAAGCTCCAGTCCCAGATTGAGATGATAGAGAGGCTAATAAATGCTACGGTTATGGACATGGAGGCAAATTCCAGTGGGAACACTATAAACCTACAGCCCCAGCTAAAATGTAATGGTTTAGATCTACTTATACTATTTGATTTATCAGTTAGTAATGGTTTAGATCTACTTATACTTTTTAATTTATCAGTTAGTAATGGTTTAGATATACTTATACTATTTGATTTATCAGTTAGTAACTTTACACCACAAAAATCACATGTAGCATTCCCCAAGGGTCATCTTAAGGCCCCCCTTTACCCAATATCTAAATGTTCCCCATAACTAATATTTTAAAAACAACAAAAGTTACCATACCAGGGCTGGAAGTTATGTTTTGTGGCCACCAGCCCCTGTGGCACGTGGATTTGGAAATCCACTTGCCGCAGGGGTTTTTTACTAGCCTAAATTTGGCTCCACCTAAAATAAAGGTGAGCGACTCAGAAAATGCTTTAGAATGGTTCTAGAGCGTATAGAGAATACACAGAGTGCTTTTAGATTATTAACTTACTTAACCTCATTTATGACTACACCTAAATAAATGACAACTGTATCTGACCTGATGTGACTGGCATCTAGAATAGAAAAAGACAAAAATACAAACTGCCAATTCATCTTACTGATGGTCTCATTCTTTTAGTTTGCACCCAGCGGCAAATCTAATAATCTCTCATTTCCAATAAAGACTGAATTAAACTTCATGCAATTTAGTCTGCTAAATCACAATTGAGTCCAGCCAGATCTGTCTGGACCAATCACAGCGTTGGAGGCAGGACTGGACGATGCCTCACTCTCTGCACGTTTCTGCTAGCATAACAGCAAGATGGCAACTGCTGCAGAGCAATGTTTCAATTATTCTCTTTCTAATGTCTTATGTGAGATTGATCAAACTTTAAAACCTTAACAACTGGCAGCTCTAGTGTCATCTAAAAAAATAAAAATAATTGCTATTTTTGGATCTACAGTTTTCACAGACTACAAAACAGAGAGCGACACTTATACTCTGCATCATCTGATCTGTAGTTATCTGAGTCATCGTAGTCATCTTCTTCGGATGCCCCCTGGATGCCTCGCTCGGGAGGTGTTCCAGGCACGTCCCACCGGGAGGAGGCCCAGGGGACGACCCAGGACACACTGGAGAGACTATGTCTCACGGCTGGCCTGGGAGCGTATAGGGCAGGGGTGGCGAACACGCGGCTCTCGACCAATAAGAATGCGGCTCTTTGCCTGTTACCATATTTTCTATATACTGTGGCTCTTTCCTCGTTTCATGTTTCTTTTCTTTCTTTTTATATCTTAAACACACTTAAATCCATCAGGGGTTATTAAAAACAAATTATATTTTAAAATTAATAAATTAATTTGACAGATTGGGTGTTTTTTATGAGACGTAAGACGTAAGAGACGTAAGTGACCGCTAATCATATGCGCGGATTACGTCTCATGCCGGGAAATTAGGTAAACATTTTATATGCATGCAGACCGCAGACTTACCTTCTTTGTAAAAATGGCAAAATGCAAAGCTAAACGAAAATATGAGGATGAACACAGGACATTTCTGGAAGAATGGGAAGATGCTTACTTTTTTATTGAACGGAATGGCAAATCGCTCTGTTTATTATGCGATACCACGATATCACATTACAAGGCTTCAAACCTTCAGCGTCATTTTAGCACACTCCATGCTAATATTGACAAGGATTTCCCCAAAGGTACTGAACTACGGAAGCAAAAATTAAGCACATTGAAAAGCCAGGTAAAAAGACAGTCTCAAATGTTTCAGCAATTGACCAAGCGTGGAGAAGCTGTGACACTTGCATCCTATAAAGTGGCATGGAATATTGCCCGTGCTAAAAAACCATACAACGAAGGCGAGTTTTTAAAACAGTGTTTTGTAGATGTAATTGACATTTTGGCTCCAGATAACAAACAACTCAAAGATTCCATCACTGATCTCCAGATGTCACGACACACAGTTGAAACCAGAATATCAGACATAAATAATGCGCTTGAATCTGATATACATGCAGACCTGAACGCATGTGCTTATTTTAGTGTAGCATTAGACGAGTCATGCGACATACAGGACAAGCCACAGTTGGCAATATTTGTAAGAATGATTTCTGAGGACTGCGTGGTTAGGGCTGGGTACCGAACTTCGGGTCTTTTATGGTACCGACCGAAATGCTTCGGTTCTACCGAGTATCGAAACATGCCTAGTCTTTCGGTACCAAGTTTCGGTGATTGGCTGTAACACTTAACGTGATTGCGTCATCCAGGAAAAATACACAGGTGGTCCCGCCTACAGCCAGGGTTGATGTGTATCTGTTGTGAACTGGTTGTGAGCGTTGCGGAACTCCTTTAAAATGCCCCCCAGGTCAAAAGTGCGGCTTCACTTTATTAAGACTGATGCTAATAGTGTAGAGTAGACGTAAGCAATTTAAGAGCAGAAAGTTGCTCGGTGTTTGACTGCAAGAAGAGCGGACCGCAACCAGCGCGACCATCCTCCTCTCAGCAGCCCGTGGGCAGAGCAAAGCCAGAGCGGAGTAATGCTGTAATAATGTAATAATGCTGCAATTTCAAACTGGACGCAGCAGGAGAAGCAAAATCACGTCTGCTGCTTCCTTTTTTGCTGCTTGTACCAGCTTCTGACGCGCGGCTGAAGAAGCTTTGCTGCTCCGGCTGCGCGGTGCAAAAGTGGCTCTGATGCGCGTTGGGCGGAGCTACTCTATCCTTTATTGGCCTTGCAGCTATATTTGCTGTGATCAGTGAGAATAAAGTAGTTTTATTATGTTTGTAAGTGGGAAAATCCACCTGAAAACTTAATCAGTGCAGTCAGTTCATCCTGCCTTCCAATATTCTTTCTGTCGGAGCCGCTCAGACCCCCCCATACCAGCGGTGCGCTGTCAATAGGATCCCATTCAACGGGCTTGTTTGTCAGACATGGTAATTTTTCTAAAGTAAAACTGCTAAGTAAAAAGGTCCTCACAATGTTACAGTGAATATTAGACACTGATTTTTTTTTTTTAT